ACTGGCAAAAAGCAAGGCCCCGGGAGCTCACAGAATACAGATTGGAATCTTTCAACAAACTGATGAAGTACAGGAGGCATTCACTCACCTACGCCAAGAAATCTGGAAGACAAACTACCTGGCCAACCAATTGGAAAAGATTCATATTTGTGCCCATTTCCAAAAGTAATGTGGAAATCATTAAACAATATCATTAATATCACATGCAAGTAAAATTTGCTGAAGATAATTTAAAAATGGCTGCAACAGTACATCAAGAGAAAATTGCCTGAAATTCTAGCCAGATTCAGAAGAGGATGTGTAACTAAGGTAGCATTGCTGACATCCCATGGATCTTGGCTGAAAGCTGAAAATATCCGAAAGATGGTTACTTCTGCTTTATTGACTCTGCCAAGACTTTCGACTGTGAAACTTGACAAACTCTGGATAAAATTGTGAAGAGTGGGTATTCCAGAAGAGCTTATCGGGCTCATAAGGAACCTTTACATCAACCAAGAAGCAGCCGTTCAAACAGAACAAGGAGACACTGAATGGTTTAAAATCAGAAAGGTGCACTCCAGGGTTGTATTCTTTCACCATACTTATTTTGATCTGTATGCTAAGCAAATAATCTGAGAAACTGGATTATATGAAGAAGAATGTGGTGTCGGGATGGGAGGAAGATTCATTAACATCTTGCAATATACAGATAATACGTGGGGGGAAAGGTTGAAGTTGTCCAAGACTTCCTTTAGCTTAGATCCATCCACAACCAACACTCAGGGAAGTCTGTGGTGGTTGTTGTTAAGTGTTGTCGAGTTGGTTCCAACTCAGAGCGACCCTGTATAGGGTTTCCAAGGAGCAGCTGGTGGGTTTTAACCTCCAACCTTATAGTTAGCAGTCTAGTGCTTCTCCTACAGTGTCACACTAGGAGTCCACTCATGGAAGCAGCAGTCAAGAAACAAATGAAGTATTGCATTAAGCAAATCTGTTGCATAAGATTGCTTTAAAGTGTTTAACAGCAAAAACTGTTAGTTTGAGGACTAAGGTGCACCTGAACCCAAGTCATGGTATTTTCAGTGGCCTCATTTGCATGTGAAAGCTGGACAACCAATAAGGAAGAGCAGGGAAGAATCGATGCATATGAATTATGGTGTTAGAGAACAGTATTAAAAGTGCTGTAGACTGTCAGAAGACCAAACAAATCTGTGTTGGATGAAGTTCAGCCAAAATGCTTCTTAGAAGCCAGGATGGCAAGATTTCGTCTCATGCTTCAGACATGTTATCAGGAGACACCAGGCCCTGGAGAAGGATATCATGCTTGGTAAAGTGGAGGGTCAGCGAGAAAGAGGAAGACTCCCAACGAGAGGGACTGGCACTGTGGCAGCAACGTTGGGCTCAAACATAACAATTGTGGGGCTGTGCAGAACCTGACAGTGTGTCATTTAGCATAAGGTCACTCTGAGTCAGAACGGACTTGATGGCTTAATAACAGGTTTCAAAGACCAGGTCTTTATGGGACAGTGGTGTTACTGGAAAACGGATGTTGGCCACTTCTAATCACAAAGTAGAGGACGACTACATCATCATCTATCTACCAGGTCATCCCGTTACGTTATTGCTGAACCACTGAGCATCCTGGCCCAGCCAGCGTGCCACATGACCTTGACCATCCCCACTGCTGCTGTTCCTATGTCATACCTCGGCGTTTGTTACAGCCCACTCTACGTCACTAAGGTGCAGCACTGTCAGAGAGGAGTACATTTCATGCTGTTGTATTAAAGGGGAACTATCAGATAGAAATGGTCAACAGGCGGGTACACACATGCCACCAACATGAGCTGGGTACACAATGGAATTTGTTAACGGTGACTCTTCCTGGTGACCTCAGCTTTGACATCTGTGGGAATCCTTACAGATGACAGAGCCCAATCCCAAATCTGTAAAATGAGAACATTAAGATTCACAACCGATGAAGATACATGATCACAACGTGTACAGCACATTCAAGACAAAACACAGACTAGAACCCAGGCTTGCAGAATCCCAGCAACCAACAAGCAGTTGAAGCTGACCAGAACCGTTGGCCGGGAAGCCAGCTTTTAAACACAGGTATCTTCTCCAAGGTGGGTATCGACACTCCTGGGGGCCATGCATGTACTTTCTCTGTTCCTGAAATCGATATTGCCTGGAGAGAAAAATAATTGAGTGCCCAACCAGCCCTCGGCTTGATGGAATGCAGGTTAGGGACTGAAGTGTTGGGCAGAGGAGAATGTGTGAGGTGGGACAGTGAGTGAAATGGTACTGGTCATTAAAAACCTAATCACAATTAATCCGCGAGGGTGTCTGCTGCTTTAATGAAGCCATTAGCCAAGGACCGTTCTGCAAGGGAAAATGCACAGACTCAACTCAGAGCCCATTACCTTTAATGAACCTGAAAATGGACTTGGAGATTTCTGCAGTATTCTTAGCATCTGCAAAGCCATTGTGCAAACCGCCCAGCTTGCAGCCTGGCTTCCCGAATCCTGGGGTGCCGAGAGCCAGAGAGGTCGCTTGAGCTGGTACACAGGGGCCCTGCAGAGGAGGCCATGGCTCTCTCACAAGATCATATTGTACCCACAGTTTCTCTGCCCAAAGGACAGAGACAATCTCATTCCTCTTGTCTCCTGCTTGCAACTGGGGTATTGTTTCTGGAGAGAGATTTGGGGACAAACAGAAACAGGCTCAAAGATAAAAGGTGTCAAGAAGCTCCAAAGACAAATGTCCTTTCTCATCATCATTTAACCTTCAAGAGAGACAACTACACAAGCACAAGCAGGTAACACTGCACAAACTCTGACAGAAAAGGGAGCACATGTTATCACCACGGCGTACATCAAAACGAGCTCATTGCTGCGGTGAAATCAATATGGACCCGATGAGACACAGTCCCCCAGAGCTGCCGTGGAGTATCTTAGAGACAGCCCAGCCCAACCCCAATTTAGAAACATGAGGACACTGAGACAAGAGATGAGGACATGTGGTCAGGGTTGTTCAGCACATTCAGGGCAAAACGCAGGCTAGAAGTGGGAATGTAGGGCCCAGGGCCCAGGAAACAACCGCTCCCCAGAGCTGCTGAGAGGAGGCTGGTAGGGTTTCCTTTAAGGCTTGCATAGTGTGATGCGATGGAGTCCTGGTGTGGCGCAGTTGGCTAATGCATCAGACTGCAAAGTTGTTTGAACTGCAAAGTCAGTGGTTCAAGCTCACCAGCTGCTCCTTGGAAACCCTATATAGGGTTGCTGTGGGTCATAATCGACTGGACAGCATTTAACAGCAACAACCAGTGTGATGTGATAGTGGCCTGGTGTCCTTCCTAAAAGTGTGGACACCTTGGGCGATGGGGACACACGGATCTTAGAGCAGATTTCTGGAGGCATTCCTCAGGTGATGTGGTCTTAGTTTTTAAACTACCTTCCCCCTCTAAAGACTCCTGCTAAATGAAAGGCCAGCAGTTCAAACCCACTAGCCACTCCAAAGGAGAAAGATGGAGTCAGCTTCCATAAAGATTTGTCTCGGAAGCCTCCTAGGGCACTTCTACTCTGTCCTACAGGGCCCTATTGACCACCATGGTCACCTGGAGCCGTTCGGCAGCAGTGGGCTTGGTTTGGAATGAGTCTTTCTGAGACTGTCAGCTGTGTGTCCCTCCCTGACCAAGTTAAATGTGTCAGAGTTTCCCACTTCCAGAGAGCGTACGTTTTTACAAGAGTGACTCAAGGAGAAAGGGCTGGAACTTTTCATTCCCTCTCACTCTGGACACCTTACACCCACCACCATTGAGTCAAGTTGCCGTAGAACAGAAGAGAACTGCCCCGGGGGCTCTTCCAGGGATGCCTTCTTTACAGAAGCCTCAGCATTCCCTCACAGAGCAGCTGGTGAGTTTGAACAGACAAGCTACTGGCTAACAGATGAGTGCTTAACACACTGCCCACCTGGGCGCCTTTCACTCTTGGAAGGCTGCCTTGATCACTTGCTTCCAACACCTTGAAACTACCTCTCCAGTCTTCCACCTTGATTCTGTGAGCCACCCAGGTTCTGTCTAATAAGTGCCCACATTTGTTTCCTCCGGTGGTGCTGATGTGCCATGGAGTCAGTTCGGTACCAGAGCACAGTGGTTACGAATCGGGCTGTGAACATCAGGGTCAGCAGTTCAAAACTACCAGCCATTCCGCGGGAGAAAGACGAGACTTTCTGCTCCCATAAAGATTTACAGCCTGGGAAAGCCCGTATAGGGTCACTATGTGTCAGAACCAACACCACGGCACATAACTAAACGCTACCAGAGCCCCTTTCGTTTCCTGTGGCTGCTGTTAAAAAAATATATTTTTTAAGCCACAAATGTATTTTCGTACAGTTTTAGAGGTTAGAAGTGTGACGTGAGTCTCATGGGGTTGAAATCAAGGTGTCGGCAGGGCTGGGTCCTTCCCGAGACTCCAGGGGTGAATCTGTTCTTGGCCTTGTCCAGCTCCTTCAGGCCTACAGCCAACTTTGCTTCCATCCTCGCATCTCCCCTCCCTCTGGTCCTCACGGCCTTCCATTTGGGCTCACCCAAATACTCCAGGCTAATCTCTCCACTCCAGAGCTTTGATCTCACCTGCAAAGTCCCTTAATAACATGGAAAGCCACATAGCACATTCCAAGGGTGACCAAGCAGACCTCTCTGCTGGGAGGTGAGGGGATTGTTCAGCTGCCCATGAAGTGAGCCAGAATCACTTTCTGTTGCTTCTAACCAAATCCTAACTGCCAAGTAACATCTCGGTCTCCACAATAGAGGAAAATACGATTTCTTATTGTTTGACATAAACTAAAAGCCAGTTGTGGTCACAGTCTTGGGAAATTGCTCCATTTGTCCAAGTTCCTAAAGGGAGTGTTAAATCCAAAGGAGAGAGGGCAGCCCTCATATGGGGACATTCCCTCGGGATGGACTGGTTTCTGATAGAACTCAATGGCTCCCTTGACCCAGCCATGTCTGGTTTTCTTGACAGGACACAGAAATTCTGAACACAGCTATCCTCACCGGAAAGACGGTGGCCATGCCTACCAAAGTGGTCTCCGTGGAGGAGAACGGAGCCGTGACTGACGTCTCAGAGTCGGTAGAGTGCAAGGCCACTGACGAGGACATCATTAAGGTACAGGTGCCCTCAGCCTGCAGGCTGCACTGGGGGGACGTCACAGGTCATCCATCCAGTGGGACTGTGCAGCCATGTGTCACTAAACTTTTCCATGTCCACATCTTCCCTTTTGATTCATCCCAGCCTTGTTGTTGAGAGGCACCGTCAAGTTGGTTCTGACTCGTAGCAACCCCGTTCACAACAGAACAAGCCACCCATCCTACGCCATCCTCACCATCACTGGCATTCATCAGCTGAGTGTTCCAGCCGCTGTTAATCCATGCCAACTGCCTAAATTCTCTAGTAACTGAAATACCACACGTGGTCAGCTGTCACAAAAATAAACAAACCTCTCACAGTTTAGGAGTTCAAAGTCCAAGTTAAGTCCAAAGTCTCCGAAGTCCTAATCCAGGTGTCAGCTCTTAGGAAGGCTTCCTATCTCTGTCGGCTCCCAGGGAAGGTCCTTTCTGCATCTCTGGGCCCAGTGCCCCTGGAAGATCTCCACATGTCTTGTCATTTCATTTGTCCTCACCCTGGATCTAGGAGGTTCCCAGGGCGGGGGCTATGGGTCTGAAAAATGCACTCAATTCCGATTCTTCTTTCTTGGGGGTAGCAGGTCCCCAATTTTTGTTCATTTCTCCCTCCTTTGATCTCTTGTAAGATAAAATGTGATACACATTGCCCAGGAATCTCCCGATCTGTGGGATCAGGGCTGTGACTTGAGTAAACGGTGTTACAGCCCAGCCTAATCCCATCAGATCACAGCACGGAGGCTGGTTACACATTATGTCATTGCATAACTGCCAAATAACATCATTGCATAACTGACCAATTACATCATTGCATAACTGACCAATTACATCATTGCGTAACTGACAAATTACATCATTGTGTAACTGACAAATTATGTCATTGCATAACTGACCAATCACGGCATTGTAAAACTGACCAATTGCATTAAGTAACTGTTGAACCGCTGCAAATCATGACCCCGCCAAGTTGACGCCTATTTGAGGCACATAATTCAATCCATGACACCAACTCGACTTCAGTCAACTATGCTGAGGTTACTAGGAGTCAAAGCATTTGACCTGGAGGAGGCCTTGGACCCCAACATATAGCAGATGAAGGTGCAGGGGCTGAGCCAGCACATTCCAGGGGCAATAAGGGGGTGAAGCATGTGGCGTCCACTTAGTGCTTCCCTGTGGCACAGCGCAGCATCAAACATGCGCACCCAAACAGGATGAGATCAAGATGTGTCCTGTTGCAAGGTCAGGCAGAGGGAGCAGGTTTGTTCATTAGGGTGTTTAAGAATGGTGTTTCCCCCATGTCGTATGGTGGTGATTCCTACACGAAACATGGTCGAGACATTTTTTGCGTCTAATTCTGGCACTGGGGGTGCAATACCAGATAAAGCAGATGAAGTCCTCACCTTCACCACACCTGATGGGGTCCAAACGGAGGAGGCAGCTACAGACCCTCACATCTGGCGATGACTCAGAGTGGTCTGCTCTGGACGCAGGAGGGGGCATGTGGTGAGCCAGTCTGGTTGGATATTGTCAGCTTCCCTCTAGTCCACACCGATTCCTAGTGACCCCATGCACCATGGCACAAAATTCTTCCCAGTCCTGCGCCAACCTCACGACCAGGTGCAGATGGACTGTTGTGATTCAGAGCATTCTCATTGGCTGATTTTCAGATGCTGATCACCAGGCCTTTCTTCCTCGTCCCTCTCAGTGTGGAGGCTCCAAGGAAACCTGTTCAACAGCTTAGCAGCATGTGCAATGAGGCGCATTGGCTGGGAATGAAACTCCGGTCTCCTGCATGTTGTTGTTGTTGTTGTTGTGAAGTGTCAAGTCGGTTCCAACTCATAGCAACCCATATAGGGTGTCTGAGCAGCCGTTGGTGGATTTGAAACACAGACCTAGTGGTTCGAAGTCCAGTGCCTATTCTAGAATTCTGTCCCTGAACCACCACCGTCCCCCCTTGTTGTTGTTGTTTGGTGCCTTTGAGTTCTTTCCGAATCACAGCAACCCCATGTACTAAAGGACAAGATGCTGCCCAGTCCTGTGCCATCCTCACAGATGGTATGTTTCAACTCTTTGTTGGTGCCACTGTGTCAGTCCATCTGGGTGGGGGTCTTTCCCTTTATCTATGGCCTTTCATTTTACCAAACATGATGCCCTTCTCCAGGGACTGGAAACCTGTTCACAGTACGAGAGGCCAAGTCTCGCCCTTGTCCCATCTAAGGAGCAATTTGGCTATATATCTTCCAAGACAGATTTGTTCTTTTTTCTGGCAGTCCATGGTTCATTCAACATTCTTATCCAACACCATAACTCACATGCATTGATTCTTCTCCGCTTTTCCTTATTCATTGTCCGGCTTTTGAATGCAAATGAGGTGATTGAAAATTGTCCACCTTACTCCTTCGTCAAAGTGACATCTTTGTTCTTTACCACTTTAAAGAGGTCCTTTGCTGCAGATTTGCTTAATGCAATATGTCCTTTGATAACTTTTTTCTCTAACTTTTTATTGTGCATTGAGTGAAGGTTTACAGACAACAACAAATGCAACAACAAAGACCCCGCTTCCTCCCTGTGGCTCATATCTGCATCCCACCCACCTTCCCAGCCCTTCTCAACTTTGTCCTTTTCGATTCTGAATGATTGGCTATTCCATGGTGAGTGTTGTTGTCCCCCCATATACCTATCTACTGCTTGGGTGAAAAATGGGTCTTGAGAGTGAGTTCCTTTCCAGACCTGAAGGATGCTTGAGAGTCATAATGTCCGGTTCCTCCAGTCTCTTTCTCACCAGTAAACCTGATTTTTTTCTTTTAATTGTTATTATTAAATAATTTTGAGCTTTGTTCCACATTTTCTCCCACTCGATCTGGGACCCTCTAATATGATCCCTTTCAGGACAGTTGGTAGTGGTGGTGGGGCACCATCTAGTTCTTCTGGTCTCAGAGTTCTAGAGACTGATGGTCACATCCTCCATTAGTCCACTGGACTCATGGATTCCAAGCCTCTTCAGTTCTCTTCACTGGTCTTTCTTCTACACGTGGAGAGACCAATAGCTGCACTCGTGAGATTTCAAGATCCCAGACACTCTTCACCCAAGCTGGATGTAGGACACCAGCTGACCATGGTGTCCCTGAGACTGTGATACTGAGGCCCTGTCTTTTGATTTCCTGACTGCTGCTTCCACGAATGTTCACTGTGGATCCAATTAAAATGAAATCTTTTGACAGCTTCAATCTTTTCTCTTTTTATCATGATGTTATTGACTTGTCCAGTTGTAAGGATTTTCATTTTGTTTACATTGAGTTACAGTCCATACTGAAGCCTATGGTCTTTGATCTTTATCAGTATTTCAAGTCCCTCTTTGCTTCTGGCAAGCAAGGTTGTATCATCTGCATATTGCAGGTTGTTAATGAGTCTTCCTCCAGTCCAGATGCCATGATTTTTGTTTTGTTTTGTTTTCATATAACCCAGTTTCTCGGATTCGATAATCAGCATACAGATTGCATCAGTATAGTGACATGCACACCTTTCCTGATTTTAAACCATTCAGTAATCCCTTGCTCTGTTCTAATGACTGCCTCTTGATCTGTGTAAACGTTTCTCATGAGCACAATTTAGTATTCTGGAATACCCATTCTTCCCTATATTGTCCATAGTTTGTTACGATCCATACAATTGAAAGGCTTTGCCTAGTCAACAGAGCACAAGTAAACACCAATCTGGAGCCCTGGTGTGGCGTTGTAAAATAAGCACTGGACTGCAAGGTGAGTTTGAACCACAAGGTCAGTGGTTCAAGCCCACCAGCCACTCCTACAGGGTCATTATGAGTCGGAAACAACTCAACGGCACTTAACAACAACAACCATGGGCCTCTGGCTACATCCCACCTCTGGAGGCCCCCCCATCCTAGGACGCTCACGGCAGCTCCATGCCATGACCCGGGGGCCCTACTGTGGACTTGCCCATTCCCAGAGGCTCCTGTGTTCACAGGTTGTGAAGTGCCACCCACACCGGCCCAGGTTGCCCTGATTGAACACCTCATTAGAGGAAGTTCACTTATTGAATTTTCAGCACATCCTGTCTGACCTCCAAGGCACAGTTCCAGCTAATGGATCCCAGTGCAGAGCTAAAAATAATACATGTGGGCACCTGGCAGCCCGCCCACCATCCCTGGTGACTGAGGAGCTGCCACTGCCTCCCATACACAGATCCGAACATCACCTGCTTTTCCCTTCTGTTGGCACAAACTTCCTCGCTGCTGAATGGCCATCGATTTCACGAGCTCAGAGACTTTGAGAGAGGCAAGTTCTTTAGAAGCACCCGAGTTTTAAAAGTCTGTGGGTAAAAAAGGCCAGACTCACTGGTCAGATAGAGGCTGCTAGAACCCCAGAGACTGTGGCCTTTACACACCCTTCAAATCGGGAACTGGCCTCGCTCCAGTAGTTCAGCTTTCTGTCCAACGATAGACAGACCTGTTGTTGTTAGGTACAGTGGAGTCGGTTCCGACTCATAGCGATCCTTTTATAGGGTTTCTGAGGAGCACAAAGTGGGTTTGAACTGCCAACCTTGTGGTTCAAAGTCCAGCGTTGATCATATAGCCAGCACCACACCATAAGTCCATATTCCTATAAGAGGAAAAATTTTGTTTGTTTGTTTGTTAAGTGCCGTCGAGTCGGTTCCGACCCATAACGACCCTGTACAGGGTTTCCGAGGGTGTAAATCCTTACGGGAGTAGAAAGCCTCATCTTTTTCCCGCGGAGCGGCTGGTAGTTTCGAACCACTGACCTTAAGGTTCGCAGCCCGATTCGTAACCACTACGCTACCAGAGCTCCTTATAAGGGGAAAAATAGCAGTAGGGAAGTACACACTCCTAATAACAACCATCCTTCCAAAATCAAAAGGCCAGTGTTTGCCCAGGGAGGAAGCCCAGAAGCCAGGAAGTGACAGGAAAGAAGGAGGAATGGAACCGGGAAACACAGGGAGGAAGTGGAA